AATTACAAAGATGCGTTCCATTGTATTGGTGAAAGCTGTTGGATGGCCTTCATCTTAAACTGATAAAGGGAGGGAGTCCATAGACTGGATAATCTGAATAAACTTCTTGTTCTCACCCAAGGCAAGTATACTTTAATCTGTAATGGGAATATTCTGCTTCCACAGGTGAGTTTACAAGACACCTGGTGGGTTAAGCTACAGTGCAAAATATTGTCCTAAATTGCAGAAATGAAAACAAATTCTTTCCCTTTACCAGGTTATTGAATGTATTTTTGTAGCTCTGCTCATTAAGAAAGGAATCTTTCTTCACTGCTTGAGTCCGGGCTGGCCTGGTGAGCTCTGTAGTCAAGTGGGCTGTAGCAAACACCATGTAAGCAGAGACTTGGAAAGTGCTTGGGTATTGACTTCTCCTGTTACTACTCTTGGAAGATTGTAACTGCCACCATGTTAAAAAGCTAGGCAAGCCTCTTAGATGATAAGAGATGTGTGGTCTAATTAGCCCCCAGTATTCCAGCGTACAGTCAGCCAAAACGTGGGGCACTATACTGCCACTTGAGCCCAGATATAGGAGTAAACTCAGCTGAGTCCAGAGGAACTGCCCAGCTGAGCTTAGCTGAGCTCAACCCAAATTGCCAATCCATAGAAATGTGAACTAAATAAATGTTCTTTAAGCTACTAAATTTGGGGATGGTTTTTACCATTGTCTACTCTACCCGGTACTTACAGGGCAGTTTTCTTGTCTCTGTTTTCTCTGTTCAGTAGTTCTCTTGATTTATTTCTGTGGTGTGTGTCTGCTCACTTGATTTGTTTGGTTTCCTGATTACTGACTATAAAGTATTTATAGAGTATTTACGGTATGTTAGTTACTATGCTACGTGATGGGGATACTGAAAGTTAATAACATGTCACCTTGGGTTATATGGAGTGAATTCTATGCTTCCTTCTGTTCACCTAATTACTTGGAAAACACTTAAAAGATGAGTGGGAGAGGCATTATTGAAAAAGATAGAAATGAGGTGGTTTGTACCAAAGAAACAAAAGAGACAAGTGGGACTGAGTAGGTTATGTGTAACATTTTTCCCTTATGCACTGGAAATCAGAATTTTTGTTCATTTGTTTTAATACTCTATTCCTTGGCAAAATGCTGAGGAGAGCTGCCATTAATATTTTTCTCCACCAATTACTTTTTTTCTATTATGGATGGACCCCGGTCCTCCGGTTAAGGCTTTTCCATATCCAGGTGTACATTTTCAATTCACTGTAATACAGAAGATAGCACATTGTAGTAGTGGTGCTGGGGAAGGTAGAAAAAACATCAAAGCCGAAACCAAGCCAAATAAATAAAACTGGTTTTAGATTTAGGTACATCTGATTTGAATCCCAATGCTGCCACTTAATGACAGTGAAATTGTCTCAATTTTTTTCATAAGTAAAATGTCATTTACTTTATGTGACGCTGTGAGAAATTGAAATAAGGATTTGAGGTTACATATAAAACCTTAGAAGAAAGCTTGTAGTGCCCCAAAGTGACAGTTTAGTAAGCCCTCAGGACATGGAAAGCTACATGTGGAGTTACAATCCAGCAAAGTTCAGCATTCAATGCAACTATTTTTCACTGCTTAGACAGGAGAAGGCAGAGAAATATTATCTCAAGATTTCTGTTAAACTAGGGAGGCATTTGCCATTTTTTTCCTTTGGGAGGGAAAAAAGATTTTGTTTTCAAGTGTAGGAGGTGCCAGGAATAGAATACCTTGTCTAAAAATCATTGGGAATTACTTATTTGAATATTTCTAAAAAATACAAATGTTATCTCAGAATTTTAGCATCATAAGACTTTGAATAACAAATCCTATTCTATTTTGCAATTAATTTATACATTTGTTACCTTTAGTTACTTTTTATTATGTTTTTATAGAGGGGGTATAATTAGGAAAATAAGGAGGAAAATGTCACACATTTTAAAAGCAGAAATAAATTTTTATTTTATTTTAGATTTCTTTTTATCCTCACCCAACGATATATTTTTTTCCCACTGCTTTTAGGAGAGAGGAACAGAGAGAAACATCTATGCAAGAGGGAAGCATGGATTGGTTGCCTCCAGGATATGTGGGGACCGGTGTCTGTTTGCTTCCAGACCATGGGTTGCATGTTGCCTGTGCACAAACTGGGGATCAAACCTGCAACCTAGGTATGTGCCCCAACTGGGAGTTGAACCTGCAACCTTTTGGTTATGGGATGATGCTTCAACCAACATGAACCAGGACCAGAAATAAACTTTAACAATATGATAAAATTATAGTTTCCCACAGCCACAGAAAGCCAATGAATTAGAAGCTAGGAGAATTATAATGTATGGTTTATATTTCTAAAGAATAAGGAAGGCCAATATTCTAAAGAGATTTTGTAAATGGCTGTTCTTCCCTGCACAGGTCCTGGGTTTCCAATGTCATTCCTGTTTGGATTTCATCCCTCTACCTCACATAGCAGGCAGAGAATTACTGTAAGATTTGCAATGAAATAGTAGAGCCAGGCACTTCAAAATGTAAACTTTTCTCCCTGGGGAAATAAGTGCTAGTTAAGAGCAAAAAAGAGAAAAATCTTTGATCACATGACACAAATCTTCTGAAAGAGATCATTTGAAGGTACCTCAAATACTTGCCATGTGCTAATCTGATTTAAAGCTATTATAGTACAATGAACTAAAACAGTATAACATACATGATATACTTTCTGGCTTCTTGTTTTAAATTATTTGAGTCAGTCTCAGTTATTTCCTTATAAATTCTTTTCTTTCTTTTAAGCCTATACTAAAATAGATTATCAAACTAAAATAGAACAACCTCAAAAATTCAGAGTGAATGGTGAATGGGGAGGAGTTTAATCATAACTTTAATATACATTTTATAATTTATAAACATATAGCAACATTTGAAAGCAAACCTTTAAATAGTAAGTTCACAAAATCTAAATATTAAAGTTATAGATGGGACCTAGCTTGAATTTGACTAAAGTAACAAAACATTATAAAATCTGTGGCACTATCTTTTATTTAAAAAAACCACCCAATCTAGTTAAAATACTTGATGTCTTTTAAATACATATATGGCTGAATTACAAAGCATGTTAAGATAAAATCACTAACAAGGGAAACATATATTCCATATTCCTTTGTAAATATGATACCTAGTATTACTTTTATTTTATAGCCACTGAAGAGAACATGTAATACCTATTTTATAAACGATTTCAGTGAATCAGAACTATTAAAGCATAAAACTTTAGAGCTGGAGAAATTTAGTTACCTTGACAATTACTAGTCTAGTTGGGCATGAAGAAATGGTATGAATATTGGCTCCAAAGCAAGATCTTTGTGATATCCTTAGTTGTAAGGGACTTGTAAGATTTCCTTGATCAACATCCCATTTCTTTGCTTCAGATGTTCTCCCCAGCCCCTTAAATCCATTGTTAGTACTTACTCATTTTGCATAATCTTCTAATCACTAGATAAAGGTTTTACTCATCGCCAAAGCTGATCAAAGTGAGCCAAAAGAAGACTCTTTCTTTGAGGTCGTATGCATACAGCTCAAACCAATACCTAATTTGATCTAACCTGTAAGGACATGACCTTCCACGGTCTTGCTATTAAATTTCTGTAAATAGTACAAGGTTCTTTTACCAAGGACTCTGGTTACATAGGGCTGCCATGCAAATCGTCTCTTTAAATCCATTAGAGGTTGGTATTGATAAAAATGCAAAATTCTCTGAAACCAGATACTGTTTTCATTTTCTTTGTGGAGAAAGAAACTGCCATCCTTGTTACAGCAAGTAAAGCTTTCTAACTCTGTTCTTCCTCTAGAGGGAGACATAGTCCAGCTTTTATACCCATTGCCTCCCTTTCATCTTTTACTGTGTCTTTTTCTGCAGGACCGCAGTTTCCTCTCATCAGCAGCTGCGGCTGTGAACAAAACTGGCTGTTAATAGGGAGGCGGAGGGAGGCAACGCCCCCTGGTCCTGCCATCCCATTTTACCGCTTAACTCAACCCGGAGTGTTGGGACTCATTCTCTCCCTGCGTCCCCCTTCTCCAGCACAGGGAGGCCAGTCACTCTGCGTAGTCCCTTGGGCAACCAGGCTGGGTGGAATAAGGGGTGTGAGTGGAACAGGGGGGGTCTGCCCTTTATGGTGACTTTTAAAAAGATACCACCGTTGTCTTCTGACAGTATAGAGCTTTGGAGCGGAGACTTTGATTACCAAACCGCTTATTTTTTATTTTTCCTTCGGTAATTTGGATTTGTTTCCTCAGCCCTCTCCCTTGCCCCACTTCCCCGCCGCCCGCCTTTAGCGAAGTGACCCGAGTAACACTTGCTCGCTCGTGTTGGATGTTGGAACTCGCAGCTTGGCGGTGACGTTCGTTGCCAGGTACTGGGGAAAGGTGGATAGCGGCAGTCGCCCTTCCTTCCCTGCCCGCGATGCCTAGAAGGGCAGCGGCTGGGCTGCGTGGGGCTCTGCCAGCAGCACTTCCAGGAGGGATGGAGGGGCTGTAGCTGCCTAGGAGTTGCTGCTGATTGGACTCGGCGCAAAGTCTCCGAGAGGGCACCGGCTGGGACCTGTCTGCTAAAAGCGCCTGCACCGAGGAACTCGGGCAGCTTGCGGGCGGACGACTGTCGAGCCCAGAGCCTCTCTTTCTTCCTGCCCCTAACCTCGCCAGCAACTCCTCCACTTTGGAGACCCGGGACCTGCGAGAGCCAGGGAGCCGGAGAAGTACGTGGCAGAGGCTGCGTGCCTGAAGGTGAATCGTTCCGACCAATTGCCTTTCTCCAGAGAGCGAAAGGGAGGGCTGGAGGGAAGGAACGGGGGATGTGTGAGTGTGTGTGAGAGGGAGAGGCGACGAGAGGAGCGAGGAAAAGTCTTTACTCGGCGTTAAAAGCAAACAAATCAGAGATGGAATAAGGGCGGTAATTGCTGCAAGACCGCCTTGATTCTCGAAGTGGGGGGAGCTGAGCGCACCGCGCGCATCCGGCGAGGACAGCGGGCGACCGCGGGCACTGGCAAGGGCTGCGGGACTTGGGCTTGTCCTCAGAAAAGAAATCTTTTGATTACTTTGACACTGTGGAATAAAGAGGGGGGAAAAAGAGACGAGGCGCACACGCTACACCTTCCACCTGCTCTAAGGGGATTCCAGTGTAAATGTCAAGAGATTCCTGAGCTCTCTTTGCCATCGGAGGAAGAAATAGACACACGCGCGCGCACACACGCACGCTCCGGACCTCACTCCCAAGCCCTGCACCAGCGCACACCACCAGACTTCGGTTCCCTATGCCCCTGAACGGGGACGGCGGATTGGCATCTTGGAAGCGATGCGAGAGCGGTAAGGCTGGCGCGGGCCCGCGGAAGCTGCAGGAGCATCGCTAGGTGTTGCCGCCACCAGGAAGCCGGGCTGCAGGTAGGTGCGAGCGGTGTCTCCCGCGGGCTCTGGGGACTCGGGCGGCAGCCGGAGCACCCGGTGCCCGGAAGCCTCCCTTCCCCGGGGGTCCGGGGCTGTAGGGGGCTCGCCGGGGGGCGGGGGTTGGGAGAGAGGTAAAAGCAGATGCTGGTTGGGCAGCCAGCGTCTCCTTTGCGGGAGGTCGGGGTAGGGGCGGGGGTGGAGGGACGCCGAGAGGGGATCGGAGCCCACGATAGCGGTTCTGAGCGCGGTGCCCTCCCTCCTTTTCTGCCCCATTTCTTCTAACGCTGCGAGCGACCCGGCCGGCGATTAAAGTGGGTTTTAAGTTGATCTCTCAACCAAACCCATCCGGGTTCGTAACCATTTTGGACTCCTAACAAGGAGTAGGGGCAGCTCCAGGCAGGATCAATGCTCTATGTCAGGTCGCCTTTCTGAAATCCCTACTTTCTGTCCACTTCTGATTAGCCCGTTCTCGGGCCTGTCTGCAGACAGTGGGCGTTTCAAGGAGGCTCTTGATTTCTCCACCTCTAACTATTTCAAAAAGAATCATCTTGATAAGTCCCGGGGCCCCATTTATTTAAAGGTTTATTTCGAGTTGGGAACAGATGCTTTAATAAAGGTTACTACAAGAGAGCTTTAGGAAAAGGATCAGTTTATGAACAGCGTTCAAAAAAGAAAAAAAAAAAAAAGGAAAACCAAAACAACAAACAACCCAGCTTCGGGGAACTAACGGTTTTTCATTTCTTTCCTAATAGAAGCCTCCCAGATCTTGCTAATAGTGCACGGGTTTTCTGCCCCATTGCTTTGCTGTCCCTTCGCCCCTTCTGTTCCAAAAGGCCGGTTTCCTACCTAGAGGTGTTTTCTTTACGCTACCGATCTCCACTTGCATGTGGGGAACGCATTATGTCCAGAAACTGCCTTTGCAAAGGAAAGTTTGAGATCCGCCGCCTGATTTCTCTCCTAGGACTGCAGGCTGTGCTATCTAGTTTTCCACTTGAAAAGGAGAAACTGTGGGCGCTTCCAAAGCTCCCGGGTTGACGCGACGCTTTCCTGTTCAGCATTCCCCTTCCTGACCGAGTGTTAAACAATTGCCTGAAGCATTTGGAATCTACAGTGTAGTTACCACAGTGGCTGGCTAGCCTTTCTTCATCTTGTGCTGAGTGAGTTTGGCTTGTGGCAATGAGACAGGCAAGAAAATATCTTTCTTTTGTAAGTGTTAAATCCCTTCTTGCATTTTGCAGAAATCTTTTTTTTTCTCTTTTTTTTAAACACAAACAAACCTATATGCAACCTTGCCTCCGGAAAGTACCCTCAAAGCAGTTGGCATAAGAGTCCTTCACTCAGGACAGGATGCATTTCATTGACTATTGACTGAATGATGGTTACCTGGTTTCTGTCTTCCCATTTGATTGTTGGGGTTTTAACAATTAACGTTAAGATTTATCAATTAACACATTAAAACTGTGCTATTAGGCAATGGAAGTTAAGGCAATTGAGTAATTAATTTTAGATATCTGTGTAGGTGCTAAATGGCAATAACTAGCAGAGGAGATTGAAAACACTTCTAAAGACTTTTGGAACCAGAGCATTAAGATTATTTGTATTTACTCTAGCCTTTCTATGTTTTCACATGTACTCTCAGACAGGTGAATCTTTTACAATTTCAAATTTGGCACCTAAGAGCCTTAAAAATGATCAGACACATGTAATTTAATGTTTTCTTTTCCTACTTTATTCTGTTCAGGTTCTCATCCTGGCTCAATTGTTTACCTATTGACCTCTTTAGAGTACTAATTTTCAAAGCCATCAATAGCCACTGAAAGTCCATCAGTAACTACACTGAAGCTTCTTTTATTTTGGTTTTCTTAATTTTCAGTAAGAAATGAGATTGTATCATCTGTAGATGTCATACTGTGAGAGCAGTGTCACACCAGCTGAATGCTCAGGCACGCGGGTTCTTTTCAGAGGCAGTGCACAGTTTTAATGTGTTGTTTTTTTATGAGACTTTTTTGAGATTCAAATCTTGATTCTTTTTGCACTTTTAATAAAGTTTTGTAGTTTAGGATGCTTGAACTTACATATTAATAGATAGTGCTATGATACATATCTCTTAAAGAAGAACCCAAAACCTTGACATCAATGCTACAAGTTGTGCTAAAGCCAGAATTGAAGGTTTCTGAGTTTATATGATTTTGAATCTGAAAAATGTTAGCTATTTTAACAATGACAAATTGGAGAATGAAGATTTATTGAGGCGCCTGTGGACTTATGTCAAAAGTGATACATATTGCTTAGAGACTGCGTTATAGTATTTACTAACCACCAAGTTATAAAATGTGGTGACGCAACTGTAAAAAGTTCTGTTTTTAGACACGGTTACTTTTCCTTTTAAAAAATTTATAGAGTAATGAAACTTAGGTGGTAATACAAGATTTTATTAAAATTATTTTGTATATTATTAGAAAAGTTTAGTGGTCCTGGATCAGTGTCTTCAATGTAATATTTTAATAAATGATCCTTTTACAATGTGTTTTTGAACATTGAAGTGTTGAAAGTGTATTTTAGGGTTTGTTTATCACTAATTACATCTTATGTATTACCCTGTAGGGACAGGGTAAAATGTATCTCTCCAGCATTTTCCAGGCATTTCTTATCATGGGCCCTAATAGAAGGTGCTGTCAGATTCTGCCTAAGTTCAGCTGTGGTTCCCAACTGATGAACATTTGCCTCTCTAATGCATGTCTTAAACAAGAAATGTTCCAAAGTGTCATCGGTTATTTCTAATATATTTGAGAAGATGAAACAACCATAGTGCAAACAGTTCAGTGCCCATGCTTTTACTTCTCCAGTATTTTATTAGGGATGCCTCATTAAGTCGCATTATTCTGCAGCTGTTTTGTTCATTAAAGATTCAAGTAAAAATAAGGAACTTTACTGTGCAATGCAGTTTTGTTTCCTTGGTGAAAAACTGTAAGTTGAAGTAAAATAAGCATCTAACAGTATCCTTTGATCTATGCCTGACATTTACAAATGTGATTCACCAACCTGTTAGTAAGGCTCTATCAAAACACAGGGAAGAGGCACATTACCACAGATTCTGCTAGGTGTCAAGGCCAAACTAGCTGAATCAACCTCATATCTGATCCAAACACTTGCACAGTATTTCACATGATAAATCTTGCTTACGAAGCATTGCTTTTTTTTTTTTTTTTTAAATGCTGTGTAATATGATGAACTTGCCATTTTGTTAAAAAATTCTTTGGTTAACTTTATTTTGAACTATAATATTTGGAGCATATTGAACTATACCACTGGAAGAGAAGGAAAAATTTAACAATGAGTTACTGTAAGTCTTTTTAGGAAACTGTTTTACTTTAGGTTTGGAGCACAGGCTGAAAAAGGGCAGATGGAAAATTTGGCCTGGCAAACGGAGACCTAGAAGTTTGTTTTTCAGTTGTCATTGACCGCTGATTTATTGGGTAATTTTTAGAAAGTCTGATTCTATTCATTTGGCACAGGAATTCTGTGTCCTCGTCAATGAAAAGGAACTAAAATCCTTCTCTTCTACTTACTCTTACTAGAAATTTTAAGAAGAATGGATAGATTTATTGGAACACAAAGAAAATAGCTATTTAAATGTATTTCTCTACAATATCTAATCTCTACACCTATCTATAGATATATATGCACATGCATACATATGTACAAATGCTTTTAATGGCACCCATGCAAAATGCTGGTTTTGTATCGAAGGAGGTGAGAACAATTTTTAAAAAAGGTATATTTTTAGATACATAGTTTTCCACTATTTTACAAGATTTAACCCACAGTGCAACTGTATCCATGGTTTAGCAAGGTAATTTATAATTGAATTTTCTGTTTGAGCCACTGTTACATGCAGCATATTTTTCCTCTTTAGTTTTTCTTTTGGAGGTATTTTTGTTAATGGTGAAACAGCACTAGAACGTTACCGGACCTTGGTTTAGCAACTTCAGTATTTAAGTTCTGGCCAAGAAAATTTTCAGACTCAAATACAAACAAAGGTTTGTTTAGAAAGTCACAGAGGTAGAAGAAGTGAGCAGTGGAAGAAGTAAAAAGTGAGCCAGCTGGGCTGCATGGACTCAGGAAACAAGTTACAGAGCCAAAAAAAAAGGGCCCTTGGAGCTTAGGATAAAGAAAGCAAGAATATGTGCGCCTGGGGTAAGAAGAGTGCGAAAGGTCCAGGTATGCTCCAGAGAGCGCAGGCACCCGGAGAAGAAGAGGGTAGGGAAAGGATCAGTCATGGTCTCCACTGGTTGGTGGGCACCAGGGCAGGGGGTCCTTAGTCATTGAAGCTGGTCTTGATGTCATCCATGCTGTAGCCTCATCTGGACTTACTGGTCTTCTAGGCCTGGAGCTGAGACACAGCTGAGGTCTAGATGTTATCTCTAGTTTGACCAAAATTCTGGTCAAAATTCTCAAGTCGACAGACCTGAGGCATTGATCTTAAGACTACTTGATTGGAGTCAGAACCTCATTGTCTTGAGGGCTTAAGGCTTAAAGGAGTTGTTGTGCAAGGGCTTGTATGGGAGTCCTATGAGGCTATTCTCTGGCTCCCTTGTTCTTCCTTAAGGGGGTCTGCTGCGTGACTAGTGATGTGCCAGGGGAGAAGAGGGGGAAGAGGCCAACTACATGACCAGCAATATAAAAGGTCAAGGAGTCTAAACTGAATGACCTGCAATATGCTAGGACAGGAAAGGCCACCCTGGAGGTAAGGTCCCACCCTACAATTGTGCATTTCTAGGCACCCAGGGCTTTCTGCCCTGGAGCCCACTGTCCTTGCTGTGCTCAGGCCTATCTAACTGTGTACTGCATTTTTATTTGTTAGGCTACAATTGCAAAAATGAATCAGTTTTGTCTTCTATGTAGGGATACTTCGGGATGTGTTTATTGACACTATGACTGGGAATTTCAACACATTTAAAACGCTGAATATATCTGTATGCTGTCTGTCTTTATTA